TCCGGTAGAGTATCAGTATTGCAATTTAACAATGTAAATGCATATTTATATATATTTATATCATATCAATGTTGATACAGTGCCACAATTTTAAACACTAGACTTCACTAGACATCGTAGTCGATGGCCCTAGAACGCAATGGTTTCTCAACGGGGTTGTACATTGTCACATTGGAATTGGCAAGCTGTTCAAATGCTTTGGATACCGGATGCAAATTTTGTCTTGCGCAGAAAGTCATTCTTCATGTATTGAAAGAAAACGTAATTTTAGACATCTACACGCTGTCAATGCTGTCTCCGAGTTGTGGAAGCTGCTGCCGCTTCAGAATTTGTTTTTTGTGACAAAATATTGCATCCAAAGTAGTGATAGTGATATGTGATATTCCTGCTTACTCTGCCTCTATGCTCGTGCTTTTCCCGTGCTTTTTCTCGTGCTTTTCCCGTGCTTTTCTCGTGCTTTTCTCGAGCTTTTTCTCGTGATTCTCGTGCTTTTTCTCGTGCTTTTCTCGTGCTTTTTCTCGTGCTTTTCTCGTGCTTTTCTCGTGCTTTTCTCGTGCTTTTTCTCGTGCTTTTTCTCGTGCTTTTCCCGTGCTTTTCTCGTGCTTTTCTCGTGCTTTTTCTCGTGCTTTTTCTCGTGCCTTTTCTGGTGCTTTTTCTCGTGATTCTTGTGCTTTTCCCGTGCTTTTCTCGTGCTTTGCTCGTGCTTTTTCTCGTGCTTTTTCTCGTGCTTTTTCTCGTGATTCTCGTGCTCTTTCTCGTGCTTTTTCTCGTGCTTTTTCTCGTGCTTTTTCCCGTGCTTTTTCTCGTGCTTTGTCTCGTGGTCACAGTTACAAGAAAAAACAATGGAAAAAAACAAAAAACTTCAGTTTTAATTGCGTTTAGTCTTCGTGACCCTGGTGCCCCGGAGGGCCACCCATGGTGGATCCTTTCGCCTTCTTAGAGGAGAGTGGGACAGCAGGTTTGACACGGAATGTAATCTGAAAGTTTCAAACAGAAGATCTCCCTAGATACCTTACAGAGATGCAGCTGAAATCCTTTCAAGAGGTCTTTGCATGATCTTGTACAGGTCCTTGCGAAAAGAGCTGATGGAGATCCTGAGATCCTTGTGAGGAAGATCTTGTCGAGAATTTTGTCAGAGATCCTTGTGGGAAGATCTTGTAGAGCTCCTCGTCAAGAGATTCTTGCGCGAAGATGTTCTAGGGATCTTTGTACGAAGATCCTTGTAGAGATATCTTGCAGAAATCCATTCAAGGGGTCCTTGCATGATCTTCACTATGGAGATCCTTGTGGGAAGATCTTGTAGAGATCCTTGTCAAGAGATCCTTGCACGAAGATCTTGTAGAGAGCCTTGTGCGAAGATCCTTGCAAAGACCCTGCTGAAATCTTCCCCAGAGGACCTTGCATGATCTTGTACAAGTCCTTGTAAGAAGATCCTTTAGAAGTCCTGATGAAATCTTCTTGTAAAAGATGTCCTTGCATGATCTTGTACAGGTCCTAGTGCGAAGATCTTGCAGAGATCCTCATGATTTCCTCTCAAGAGGTCCTTGCGCGCTCTTGAACCAGTCCTTGTAAGAAGACCTTCTAGAGATCCTAATGAAATCCTTGTAGGAGATCCTTGTATGATTTTGTACAGTACAGGTCCTTATGAGAAGCTCTTGTGGAACCCAAGCGAAGTCTTGGTCAGTAGACATAATGTTGGTCCTTGCCCCATTATCATCTTTTTTAGTCATCCCCCTCAATATTGTCGCCCTCAACATCATCATCTTTCTCCTTCTCAACATCATCATCCTCCACCTTATTATCCTCCACTTCATCTTCCGCATTATCATCCTCACCCTTATTCTCCTCAACATCATCATCCTCCACCTCATCTTCCTCAGCATCATGATCCTCAACAGAATCGTCTGCGACATTCTCATCATCATCATCATCATCACCATCATCATCCTCATCCTCATCATCCACAACATTACCAACAACGTTGTCATACATTATCCTCCCACTCCACCACACTGTTTGTGGTCTCTTGCCGAAATAGTTTTTACCCCAAGGCCCTTTTTTTTGGCTCAAATAGTATGTCTGGCAAGAAACCGGATTGTATCTCAGGTAAGATATTAGATAGAATGTCCGATAAGATGTCGCTGTGGATGCCCGGCCATATTATGTCAGGTAGAGTGTCAGTTGGTAGGGCTCACTTGAAGAAAGGCGTTGACAACTAAGAATCTGCATTAGGAATCTCCAGTGGGGTTTTCAACCTACAAAGTGTGCATTTTGAATCTTGGATGCCATTCTATTTTCCAACTTTTTGGTGGAACAAGTCAATGCAAAATGCCACATCATGCTTCCAAAATGATTGTGTCACTTCATGCAGCGCGCTAAAATGGGCAGCTCCAAAACAGATGGCTTTTTGAAGCCGGCACTTTTGGAAAACAAACCTCCATTTTTTCACTTTTTCTCGTGGTTTTTCTGGTGTTTTTTTTGTGCTCACTGTTACAGGAACTAGGCTTCCCACAATATATATATATATTTATTGATTGAGACATGGAAATTCAGCACATAATTTTTCATGGTTTTCCGGCTTCAAAGCTGGAAGTGGATGCTGTTTTCTGCCCCCTTTCCTTTGACTGCCGGTTGTGAACTGTTGATCGCGTGGAACAGTGACTTAATTGAACTTGCGCGTCCATTGCGCTGACGGCTTGCGGACTGTGTTTTGATCTGAGTGTATCAGTCTTCACGGCCAGCAACCCCTCGTTCTTGCACGAGCATTGAAGTTTTCGAATCTGATTTTTGCATGTCCGTTGTTTCGAAACTAGGGTGGGAGATTTGGAGAAGTGAGATGTTTTAGCTCATGAATCAGACATATCTTGGAGGCCAGAGGGACGCAAATTCTGAAGTGAGATGGAACATCTCTTGCTTAGAAGGCTTGTGTGGGATAGATTGGACTTCTAGAACTGTTTCGGGTTCCATGTTTAATGGCTTCACTTTATTTCGTGACCGCCTGTGTTACCCGTTTTGACTGCCGTAGGTGACCCCTGACCTACCTGGATGGGGTTGGATTATGTTGGGTTGGGTGGGCTTGATGTAACAACCCTCACACATTGTGAGCTCTATCTTGGCATCGTACTTTGGATCCCCCCTTTACTGCGGAAATTTGAGAACCGCAACGCAGATCTATTGTCCCAAACTGACAAATGGCTCAACCACAACCACGAAAATCCAGCGACCAGAAAATTGTTCGGTCCCGCTGGATGATAACTCTGCCTTCTGTGCACTTGCCGTTTATGAATGTCGCACTGCCAAGCAGAATGCGAAATGAACATGGACCTTCAGAATGTGCTAGAACACGCACGCTGCTTTCAATTTTTGACTTGCTCGGATGTTTCAAGACACCCCTGCCTTTCTTCGTATCCGCATGCAGTGATTCATTTCATGATGCTCATGAGGTCTGGTGGCACCTGCCACTTCTGGTGCTTGGTTTGGTTGCATTGGGGGTCGGTGGTCGCTTAGCCTTTTCGTGGAATAGCTCTCGCAAAGCTCGGAAGATCGAACGCACCCTGGAGGAAGTCTATGCCCAACTTTGGGATGCTTGGTATTCGAAGCGTATCATGTGCCAAGGCCCCCTGACTGCCAAACGAAAGCCTCCATTGGGATAACTTGCACAGCAATACACAGCATGGATGCTTGACCAGGCGGGAGTTTGAAGTTTATCGAGGGCTCAGTTTCTAAATGCCAACATGTTCAACACATGTCATCATATAGAGCGTGAGCCTGTGGGGTGCCTCTCTGAGGATGAGCAACCAGACACGCTCACGGCATACTCGAAGAAATTGAGTCGTCTTGGGCTTCAGAAAGCCAAGTTCGAGCAAAGCGTGTCTGCCATGCGCGTCCGGCAGAGTCAAAGAGCCGGGGTTTCTAGATAGCAAAGCATGTTTTTGACTATGTTGATGCAGCGGCTCTTTCATAAACCTGTTTTCCTGCCCTTGATATTCCACGATGATCTGCGCGCGCCTGTGTTTTGCTCCCAGTCCAGACCCTGAACGATCTCGGGCCCAGGTCAGCATACAATATCTGCTATCTGCTGACTTCGCTCAACTGGCAACGCAACGCACTGGCAAGAACGATCCGACCTTCATCGATCCTTGTTCAAGTTTAATGCTCACCTCGCTCAGCCCCGTAGGGTCAGAACAACCCTGTTTCGACGCTAATCTCATGTGCAACGTTTCAAAATATGAAATAACTTTGGATCTTATGACTGGACCTGCCATTCTTTGACAGCCTTCGTTTAGTTTGACCCAGGTCGGCAAATGTCACATCGCATCACATGTTAAAAGGTCAAACTGTTTTTGACGAAACTCAGGACATGAAGACGGCCTTTTGGCTTTCAGAAGATCCCATTGGTCGAGACATGATCTGTCCACGTGATGGTAGAGCTGGATGTGCGTTAGTGGATTGGATACCACGCTGTGAACGCCGAGAACAGACGCATTTCATGAGCTGGACCTGGAAATACAGTCTGCACGAGGCGAACATGGGCAAATTGGGCGAACAGTTTTCATCGCGTCTTTGTCAAGTACTTTTAGAAACATGTTGTGCCATTTTGTGAAATTCCTGTTGTATCCTGTTGTGCCGTTTTCCTTCGCACTTGTGACCAGAGTAGTTGCCATGTTGGAGACACTACTTTTGATGTCCCAAAGCTGGAAGATGTCTGTCACGGAGCCATTCAATAATCCGGTGCCAGGAAATCATAGGAAATGATATGAGGAACTTCCAACCCAGGTTGAGGTTTCCAGCTTCCCTGCACACAATGAAGTAGTCCCGGCTGCCCTAGAGCGCAGGTGCAGAGTGCTTTGGAGATGTTTCAGCAAAGCCTGGTTGGTTCATGTTACTTCTTCATGTGTTTCTTCACAAACAATCAGTACCGAATCCTGGTCGAAGAGAGCAGCACTGGAAGCGACAATCTCGAGGAGGTGTTTGAGAGCAATCTCAAACGTATCGGAAAAATGGTTGCCATTTTGGATACGTGGCATCAACCGGCGTATTTGACGCGCATCTGGACGGTCTACGAGCAATTTGTGGCATCCACGATTGAGATCGAGGCCGCTGCTTCCAGTGTGTTAGGAAGATCCAAAATCAAAGACATGTATAGACATACTGGTATTCCAACATGTTTGTTATTTATTATATTTGTTATTTGTTGCATTTGAAGCGTTGATAATTCTCATGTCGATTCTTAAGCTTGAGGTAGCGGAAACTCCAGTTCCCCCGACATCTCAGGTGCAATTCGTCATGCCAAGTGCCGCTGCGGATCATCTGCAGAGGCAGATTGCGCAGGGTTCTGAAGGTATTGATGAGGTAATCGAATCCATCAGTCAAGTGGATTCTGAAGAAGCGAAAGCGTGGAAGATGGAGGATGAGACCAAAGTGAAGCCCATCACAAATGAGATACACTCAAGAGATTTCAAGAGATCATGCACATGTTATGTTATTTGCATGCAAACGTTCTCTCAGGTATTCTCTTGTTTCTCTGAAGACTGGTGGGGAGATTTTTGGAGTTCGATGTGCTCAGCCATGTCATTTGCCATGCCTAAGGAAGTCTTTGATCGAGGTTCTCAACCGGGGGCGGGGGTTGGACATCTTAGATATTTGACACAGCATGTTTGTTATTGTGGTTGATTCGGCTTTACCAGCCGGTCGTGGCTTCAGGAGGGAAAGAGTAGTTGGATTTTTTGGGGCGATCGGGCCTTTTCAGTGGTAGCGGAGCCACGTTGTCGGCGACCTGTAGCCCACCTGGCCTTGAACCATGGCCTTTCCCTTGCTGGAGCCTTCGGGAGCTCTGCGTTCCTTGGAGGGCAGCGACTCCTGGACCGAGGTGGAGAAGCTTCCGAGGCCGCTGGACGTTCCGGTGCCAGCTTTTCGACCTCGAGGAGCGGGACGTGTTGCAGCTGCTAGAGCTCGACGGGAAGCGGGTTCTCAAGTGGACATGGAGGAGCTCATGGAGTCAGGGGGATCATCGGGAGCTGAACGACGCGGAAGCTTGGAACCCGGTAGTAGCCTGGCGGCAGGGCAGCCAGCTGGAGAATGTCCTGCATGCGGAGCCTCTGAAGCTACGGCGCAAGACATAATAGCGCCAGCAACATCGCTGCATGCCGCAGCAGTGTTGGAGATGAGCCCAGTCCGAGAAGAAAAGGACTCTTCGGCGGAAGATCCGTGGCAGCATTCGGGTCCGTGGTTGGAAGCGAGCAGACACCGACGTGGCGTTGAACGGGATCGGCAGTCTTGGTGGAGTTCCTCCGACGATGATGCCAAGTACTGGGAGAATTGGTGGACTTGGCCAACGGTGGAGAACTATGTGGTGCAGAATTACCCGGCCGAGAACTATGAGGACCAATCCAGTGAGCGGCACTCAGTTCAGAGCGATTGGTCGGATGAGAGTTTTGGACACAACTCCAATTGGTCATGATGGTCATGGTGGTCCAGCAGGAAGCAGTGGAATGTGGAAGACCTTCAGGGACAGCAGGAAGATGATGCGGTCTTGCGTCATCTTCAGGATGCGGCGCTACATGCTGGACAAGGGCACCGTTATGGCGGAGGACATCACGATCGGGCTCTTGCGCAGCAGGGAGTATGCGAACTAGACGATCATGGAAGAGGACATGGTGACGATCACGGTAGAGCACGACGTGATGAACTGGAGACCTCCGTCGTCTCCCCGACAGCGGCAGCAGTGAAGGATAAGGACAACCTTCCTGCTGGCGAAGCTAGAGGAGTTACTGCTGTGGCCGGGAATGCTTCCTGGTTGGTGGCTGCCGCGGGGAAGTTGAGCTCTTGATGCCTTCCAATCTTCTACGCTCGTCCGGGTGGGAGCTGGGAACAGTATTGGAGGAGTGTAACGTTCCGGGCGGCTTCTGAAGGCAAAGCTTTGCCATGTGAGATGAGAGGACCAAGACTTATGCAACAGCTGCAAGAAAGGGCCGGCAAGATAGTGCAGCGCTTGTCGGTGGAAGAGGCTTCAGCTTCGGATGGCCTTGAAACTATCAAGGCGACCATGGAACGGTCGCCTGTCATTAAGCTCCTGGATCAGAAGAACGTGGACCAACGCCGACAGAAGTTTATGAGATTGTCCAAATTGCCGAGTGAGTCGGTGGAGAGTTTTTCGAACCGGGCTGGGATCTATCGTCAAGAGAACCAATCTTCGCCAGCTTACTAGGTGGGATCGAAATTCTACGTGGGCCACTTGCTGGATGCGGCGAAGTTGACCAAGAGGGACCTCGCCCTCATCAAGGCGGCAGATGGTGGAAAGCTTGACGATGAGGATGCGGCGACGAATGCATTTCTCGACCTTGCCGAGCAACTGGAGGGACAACCGGGTTGTCCCGGTGGACGAGGTGAGCCGACATTGGACCGGGAGGACAAGTGCCCGGTTCAAAAGCATGGTGGAATGGGTGGCTCTCCCCAACATCTTGGAGGCGAGTGCTGCTGGTGGTGTCTCTGTGGACTCTGCCGCCAAAGGGGGGATCAGCGGCGTCCACTCCATCTATGCCTGATGTCTCTAATGGCTGAGATCTATGAGCAGGGGTGCAAGGCCCGCAATCGAGTTAGAGAAATCAAGAAGATGAGACAATATTTCCAACGTGAAGGTCATGTTCAAGGACAGCCGTTGGGGCAAGCAGCTGTGCGGGACAGAGAGCATGTGAAGAAGTGGGTCAAGGAGCAACAGAAGACGGAGCCATGTTTCATCTGCCGACAACTTGGACATTGGTCACAGGAATGTCCATATCGCAAGCGAGCTCCAGTACATGCCACAAATGTGACCTTCAAGCAAGACGTGACCAATGAATCGGATTGGTCTTGCCTCCAGAGCTGTGCTCAGCCCGATGCGTGCTACAAAGGGCGCTTGAAGAATCTCAAGTTGTACCCCAACCTGTACTTACACGTGTGTTGGGATGGTTTGAGCGGTGAAACCGCCGCCATTATGTTTCGTCAAGATCTTTGGTGTTCACGGGTCATGGATTCCCATCTCCTGGTCACTGCTGGTTCGGTAGCAGCTGGGTGGACGCTTCGTGGGCCATTGGTGCAGCCGACTCCACCATTGCCAACACCGTGTGCTTGCACTCGTCAGTGCATCTCGGCTGAGCATCCATGGGTGTTTCGGCTTCTGGGCTGGCTGGGTTCATTGTGTTGGTGAATCACAAGAGCTCATCCACACAAGATCAAAGCATGGGCCCAATGCTGTCACAATGCATGACAACACCTCCAAAACTTGAAGCCTCAGTTAGATTTTGAACCCCCGATTAGCAGGAACAAGCCTTTGATTCTCTTGGTGGTGGCTAGTTGGAATATACCATTCTCCAGCCTACTAGCGCCACTTCAGCAAAGGCTCCGCCCAAGGGTGGAAAGGGAGTGTTTGGCAAGGCGCTGCCGTTGACACAATAGACGTGCTGTGAATGGAGCCAGGACATGTTTGTTGCCTTAACTACGGGGAAGTCCCTGAAGTATGGCATACACGAGTCATTCTCGCTCCTACCACGGCAGATAATTTTGCAGTGCTGACTCCTGATCATGACATTTATGAAGAGCAACTTTCCAACATGGATGTGGATCTGACTGATTTCCATTATGGTGGAGCTGATGGGCATCTGGTACGTCGGATCAATCCTGCTTCGGTGTATGGTTTTGCTCCCTTGTCTCCAGTGGATTTGGCCAGATTCATGCAACAGGGTCGGGCTGAAGCTTCAAATATCAGGGCAATAGCTGGTCTTGGTCCTTTGGTGGTTGGCCAACCTGCGCATGTTGTTGGGGCAGTTCCTCCTGCACCTCCTCCACCGGTTAGACCTCGGTTGCCTTGGAGAAGAAAGATGCTATATCTAGAGGTGATGTTCTTGCTGTTGATCCTACTCCTCTACTTCCAGGCAGTCAGGTTTCAGGTGAACGGGCTCTGGTTCCAGTTGGCAACGATTTTGTTTTCGCCAAGAAGGTCAGTGCGGACGAGGTTGGGTCCTACAAGCTCGAGGACTTGAGGGTTTTCCCAGTCATGTTCGACAACCAGGGTCTTCATCGGAGGGAGTTCAATTCTCGGTTGCCTTGTTGGATGATTTCCCACCACAAGGGGGTGGGCTTCAGTTGCAGGGTCCATCGACAGCATTGACATTTTTGAAGATACTTCGTGATCAGAACCAAACTCCCACGACCTTCCATGAATACTGGATTCGAACTGCGGAGATTCCCCGAGGTGACAGGTCTGTTTACGAGCGCGAAGACGTATGCGTCGCACACCAGAGCCACTGGGTCCATGGTGACCATAGATCAGATAAAGGTTCCTGCTCTTCAAAGTGCCGAGCTCCTGATCAGACGGATGATGGTTATCCGGGAAGCTCACAAAGTATCCCCTTCTGCGCCCGACTATTCTTCTGCTGATATCATGATGGGTTGGCAGTACAGGCGTAGTGCTCAGGGTGTTGTCACGGCGATGGCCTCCTACGTGGCAATTGAGTTGAAGAATGAGGCCGCCATCCTCAAGGAGTCTAGGAAGGCTTGGGAAGAGGCTCAGTTGCGCCGCAAAAACCCCAAGAATAAGAAAGGGGGTGAAGGCGGCGGTGAGCAAGCATGAAGAACACCAGGGCACCTCCAGTGGCCGAGGATGTGCTTGTTTTCTCCACACAGGCCAACACGTGTCCGAAGCAGGGCACAGGTTTTGAGGCGGATCGTCGTGATCTTTTTCCTCTTCCTTTGCTGGGTTTCCGTGATGGTACTCCTGGTTGTAGCTCTTCCCAAAGAAGACGAAAGGTCAAGGTGAATCAGACTGTTGACAAGGTGAACAATATCATCCAATCCCTCAATGAGATGTATGGGCGTGATGTCGCCAAGGTATCAGCTGCTTTGCCTCCATTGGCTGTTCAGGAGAAAGCCCAGCATGAGCTTTTCAAACAAGTTCGCCATGGTTGTGAACGTATTCCTTTGTATAGTCAGCGTGAAGCTATGAAAGAGCTTCTGCATTCCACTCCCTCATATTCTAAAGAGGTTGAGACTACAGTCAGGCCCTTCAGCAAAGACCTCGTTTCCCTGCCGGTTGTAGGAGCTACTCCACCTCAGCTCGATGACCTGCTGGATCCATTTGGTCGTGAGCTTCTGAAGGACCCCATATCTACTATGATGCTTTCACCACAGGGATGGGGAGAGATGGTTGAGCGTGGTGTTAGGATCAAGCCTTTTATGGACATTGTCTTGCAACGTGATGAGATCAAGTATACCAGGATTTTTGTGTTGAGTTTGTACAAGCGTGGCGTGATTCAATTCACTCATCGTCCGAAGGATCGCATCACACCTTTCTTTGTGACGAAAAAGTCTGGGGCCCTCAGGCTGGTTCTGGACTGTAGGGCGGTGAACCAATGATTTCGGGACCCTCCTCCTCTCAAGATGGCAGCAGGGTCATCATGGAGCAGTTTGCAACTCCCACCAGGGGAGTCATTATTCGTTGCTCAGTTTGATATACGCGGCTATTTTTATTCACAGCCTCTGCCCTTGGAATTGCAGCCCTACTTCTGCCTCCGTGCCATACTTGGCAGGCTTTTGGCGGAGCGGGGAGTTTCTCCACAACATGGAAGCGATTTTGACGACGAAGGCATGGTTCACCCAATGTTTGTGGTCACGCCAATGGGTTGGAGTTGGGCTATGTATTGGGCACAACGCATTCACTCCTACCAAGCTTTGGTCGGTGCAGGTTTGGGCCCAAACCGAGAAGTTGCTGAAGGAGTTGCTTGCCCGAGCCTCGAAACTGGTGAACCGGTCGTGATTGCCTATGCAGACAATCTCAACATTGCTGGGATCTGCCGACAAAGGGTTCAACAAGCGAAAGATGATGCTGTTGCACACCTTAGACACATTGGGTTTGTTGTCCACGAGGAGTTGGACGCCGCTTCCTCTGCAAACTCCCTTGGTTTTCACATCAATGTTGCTGTTGGCAAAGTCACCCCCCATTCCGTCCAAGGTTGGAAAGGTCATTGCTATGCTGCGATGTTTGGCCAGTGGGCCCAGAGTTTCAGGGAAGATGGTGGAGAAGTTGATTGGGCATTGTGTTCATTTTATGATGCTGCGTTGTGAATTGTTATCCATTTTCAGAAGCATGTATCAATTTGTGCAAGATTGCTATCAGTCTCGACGGAGGTTGTGGCCACCAGCACGATCTGAAGCGAAGTGGGCAGCTGATTGCCGATCTTAGAAGACCTTGGGATTCCACTGTTTATGCGTCGGATGCCTCACTATCTGGAATTGGTGTTTGTAAATGGGAGTTTTCGACACAGCGTGTGAATCACATTGGTCGGCGCAAGGAAAATTGGAGGTACAAGTGTAAGGCGACAAGTTGCTCCTAGGAAAGCTACGGTTTCTCATCATGATCCATGTGTTGGTTTAGACCCATTCATTGATATCGTGACGGTTAAGCCTTGCGAAGTTCAACATGAAGATCCATACGAGATTAACGATGCTTTTCCCGAGATTTCTTTCGAAGGTATGTCCCCTCAAAAATGGATTTTTGTGTTTGCTGCACGGATGAAGTTTCCTGAGCCGATAACTGTGCTGGAGTTTCGAGCCATCCTTGCATCGTTGAGACACAAGCTGAGAAACAAATCCTCTTTTGGATCGAAGCGTCTCCACTTTTGTGACAATCTCTCTGCAGTCCTTTGTGCGTGTAAGGGACGTAGTAGTTCATACCCTATGCTCCGCGCCTCTCGATTGGTTGCAGCTAACTGCCAACTGTTCACACATTGGATTCCTTCAGAGTGGAACGTTGCTGATCATGGTTCGTGTCTCTGGGAGTCAGAAAGGGTTGCTGGTAGGAATGAATCCAAAAGATACCAAAAAGCGCTCAAGAAACAAGTTGACTTCGAGCGCTACCCCAATTCGAAAGGACTTCAAGAATGTCGAGGTTCCCAAGTTGTTGCCCCAATCAGTCCATCCAAGAGGTTGGCAAGCATCCGACACCAGTTGGATGGCAAGAATGCGCAAGACCGTGCCAGCAAGGGACAGAAGTTTCTGAGCACCTTTCAGTCCCTGCCGCGTTTCCCAGGACAGACATTTCTGGAACAGGTGGCAGTGAGTCGAGAAGTGGGACAGGACTATGTGAACCGGACCTCAGCTTTCTTCCAGTTGGCAGCCACACAGCTGTTGCCGCTGAGTCCTATAGCCAAGTTAGACAGGAGCTTCAGCGCTTATCAGACGGCATGGATGTGTCAGAAGGCTTCAAAGCGTTTGCGGCCCTGATGGATTGTCGTCCCGACCTTGGCAGCAAAGCAGAGTTGCCAAGATCCAGGAGAAGTCTGCAGGGGTGGTCCAAGGTGGACCCAGCAAAGACACGACCCCCAAGGCCTTTTGCTCTGGTGGCGTTGATAGTGGTAAAGCTGTTGCCGAATCAGCATTGGCAACACTTCTCAGCTTCACTGCATACCTGAGACCTTCAGAAGTGTTAGGACTGAGGGGAAACGATGTAGTGGGGCCCACAAAAGCGCATCCACACATTGCGAAGAACGAATGGAAATTTCAAAGATGGGACTTTCAAACGAATCTCCCCTCCTGGACTCGCCAGTCTTGCCATGGCTCAACCACACCATCGAAAAGTTCAGTCGAAAAAGGGGATCAGACTACCCGTTCAACTTGGACTATCCCACTTGGAGAAGAGGGTGGGAGAATGCATTGGCCAGCATCAATCTTCCAAGAAACCACTCCACGTTGTACCAACTGAGGCACAGCGGTCCTTCTCACGACCGACTTCAAGATGAGGGGGCGCTGGCTGGCGGACTCTTCAGTGCGTCGGTACGAGTGCCACGCCAGACTTCACCAGCAGTTTCAACAGTTGCCTCCGCTGGTGCAGCAACAAGGACTGGAAGCGGTTTCAAAGCTAGAGAAGCTGGTCCTTAAGGTGTTCACCCCAATGAAGACTGCCATTTTTTTCAAATTTGGTGGGAGGTTGAGTTTTTCTCCGGTTGTGCTAATCTTAGCAAAGCATGTGCAGCAGAGGGTTACCATATTTTGGCATATGACATTCTATATGGGCCGGGCAATGATTTGCTTACAGTGCTGGAACGGGCCTTCAAATTCTTGCGGACTCACCGCGTTGCTCTGGTTTGGCTTGGCGCACCTTGCACTAGTTGGTCAAGGGCTCGGAAACTCGACGGTGGTCCCCCTCCTGTTCGTGATGACCATGATGGTTTGTTTGGGATACCTCATCTTAGTGCACATGATAGACACAAGGTCACTTTGGGAAACCAACTACTAGAAGTCACTCTGAAGATCATTTCGTTTTGCAACCAACTTGGTATTCGCTGGGTTTTGGAAAACCCCTGGACTAGTCGCTTGTGGTTAGCGCCTTCAGTGCAGCTCTTGGCCGATGCTCATCTGCTGAAGACGGACTACTGCCAGTTCAAACAACCCTGGCGGAAAGCTACTGGTTTGTTGCGCTCACGATTTGATGAGTTGAATTCTGCAGTGAAGGTTTGTAATCCCAACAATAACCGCTGCTCCGCCACCGGTAGGCCTCATATAATTTTGCAAGGGAAAGATGAGCATGGGGTGTTTTTTACCTTTCGCGCGCAGCCTTACCCCACCTTGCTCTTGTAAGTTCAGTTTCTAAAGCTGGACAGGGGCTCTACGTGGATGTGGGATTTCATTTGGTTTCAAGCCCACGGATTTTAAGCCATGAAAAGGAAAGTCGGAAATTGACATTCCTCCACTGTTTTCTTCACTCAAGCCTTGAGCGCACGCTCTACAAAGGCGCGTTTGCTGGTGGTTGGGGCAGCGGATGAATCAAACCTATGTCAGGATGTATGGTAGAGGTCCCCGATTATCCGAACGATTTGTGTACAGAGGTGTTGTGGTCGATGGCTGAACTTGGGGACAAGGCCATATTCGATTTGGGTTGTATGAAGACGGTGGCGGGTACAACTTGGGTCAACTCGATTGTGCACCAATGGAAGTCGAATAGTTGTTATGTGAAGGTCGTACCCGAGAAGGAGTCCTTTAGGTTTGGAGATGGACATGTCAATCGCAGCAGGTTTGCAATCATCATCCATGTCAACTTGGCCACCGTCCCATTTTTACTTCGAATTTCAGTGGTGACTGCCACCCTTTGCTCTCCAAACCTGTGTGCGCTTCCTTGGGATTCAGTTGGTACTGAGACTCACGCTCTTGCTTCAAGGACACATGCAGTTCGTTCATATGGATTAGGGCAATCGCGGGGAGGACGCTATTTACTTGACATGGAGCAGCCTTCTCAACAAGTTCCTTTCAATTTTCACATGAAGCCGCATGCAGAAGGTCAGCCTCTTACAGTTTTGGGTTCAAGGCAAGGCGTGCCTCGACCCGCATCCTCGACTTCCAGCCCCCGTGACAGCTCGTACCCCGTTGGTGCTCGTGATGACCGACCGTGCGGTGTGGGAGGCTTTGACATCGAGAACGATTTCACCGAGGAGATGAGCGACGAAGAGCCGGACACTTCTCCGGTCCTGGTGGTGAGGCCAGGCACGGAGGGATCGAGTGCCAGGACGAACCGAATGCCGATACGGCGTCCGAAGAGAGCAACATCCTTCGCCAAGAAGAAGTCCAGCCTGTCACCAACGAGACCTTCCAGAACCAACGTGGAGATGCAGAACGCGGTGGCGATGATGCAAGAGCAGATGGAACAGATGCAGCGCCAGATGATGCAGATGATATCGGCCCCTCCGATGACTCTGCAGGCGTCCGCGCAGCCATCGAAGTCACAGAAGGAGCCCAGGTCATCGACGGCGGCCTCTTCGAGCGGTGCTGCATGCTGCTGCTGCGGGTTCGGATCATTCAAACTCCAGAAAGATGGCTTTGAACTGGATGCAGACACGCAGCATTCGACAAGGAGTATACAAAGAGCTCGGGGGGTACATCAACGGATGTGCAATGTAGCGCAGGCGAAACCCGGACCTTGGACGTTGATAGGGATCTTCGCAGGTCGCGCGGCTTTGTCAGATCTGGTTCGTCGCGTGGGGAAATGGAATGAGCCACCTCCGCACGATGTGCTTTATGGTCTGGACCTAAGGAAGGTGGAGCGCCAGGACTTGCTGAAGGACGTCATCAAGAAGCGCCACCCTGATGTGGTGACGTTGGCAGTGCCGCGTGGTCCATGGAGTTCTTGGCAGCGCGAGGAAAAGGAAGGATGTGCTTCACGCACCGAGGAATGAACGCAAACAGTTTTGGGAGTTTGTGTGTTGCGTGTCGGCTCATTAGAATCAGACAGGCGGCTTGGTCTTGTTGGAACAACCTAGCCGGTCTGATGCCGTGAAGCAGCCAATGATGTGCCGCCGGGAGAAAGTCTACCAGAAGGACGGCGTAGGCATCAAAAAAAACATTTTTAGGGATCAAAAAAACATTAATAGGGGAAGGAAGGAAGGAAGGAAGGACGGACGGACGGAAGGAAGGACGGAAGGAAGGAAGGAAGGAAGGAGGTTCCTTATCAAAGATTACACACTGTGGGATATATATATATATATTATATGTATATATATATATATATGTATACATATATTTGTAGCCGATATTTGTTTGGATTTTACTGATTGAACCTGAAACAAACTTTAACTGGATCCTAGCCAACCTTGAACAAGACACTTGAGCCAACCTTATAAACACCCTGAGCCAAACCTGAAGAAACCCTAAGGCAAGCCTAAAGAACTTCAAAGGCAACCCCGCGCCCTCCCCCCAATCCCCCCCCTCCCGCTTCTTGATTCAAGTCACACTTGCAATGCGCTTCTCTGCGCCTATACAAATATTTTTTTTTGCATGTAACATTGCCTGTGCAAACTGGGGGGGTGAGGTAGCTTTCCCCGTATTAAGGGAGCCCTGGAATCTATCTAAACACCTGCGGTCACTACAGTGGCGGCTGCAATCTTTTTACACGCGGGCTTGCAGTAATCTTGAGCCATGCGGAGTGCGCATGAAACAGAATGAATTATGTGTACATGTCAATATGCATGAAAGCATTGTGTAGACACGTAAAACAAAATAAGTAACAAACAGACACAAATTTTCTTCGTGTCGCAACATGCTACTGTCTTTCACAAGAAGCGCTCAGCTTGTGATCTGCTGTGAAACGAGTCCGAAGACAAAATCAAAACTGTACAAAAAGCTACTCAAAGCTACAGGCTGGCTGGCCGCAAAAGCGGCACATATGCATTTGGAAGGACTTACAGTCCCATCGAGAAAGTGCATCCATAGAAATTCATTTCATTTCTTCTTCTCAATTCTCCTGATTGATGGAAAAAGATCGATTGATCTGGAGTCTGTGGAATCATATCCAACCAGGAACCATCGTATTTTTTGAATCCATCTCTGTCTTGGAACGGTATATCCAGGAACATATTCTACACTGCTGGTGCGAGGATTCGATCTGTAGTATGATGGTTGATTGTATGAATAACCGTAATCTCGGTATCCTGAGGAGCTGGATGATGCTCCTTGATGGCCTTGGTCTAGCCATGATGCTCCTTGATGGCCTTGGTCCAGCCATTGCGAACCCGTCATGCGAGGTGGTGGCGCCGGTGGCTCTGGAATATCATATGGTCGCTTACGTGTGGTTCTTGAATCTGGAGTTTGCGACCTCTCGCGCCACGGTGGTCTTTTGGCTCCAATTATCCTAGACGGATTAAAAATCGGGTCGTTGCTAGGAGATCTTGCAGATCTTGCAGACCGAGCAGGCGGTGCTGGTGGAGCAACTGGCGGTGCCTTGATTGGTGGTTTAACATTTGAAGTTGAAGTTGGTGCTGGATTGAGGGATACAGGTGCAGCCTTGTAACGTATCTTTGTTGGAGGTGCTGATGGTGTTTTTGGTGGTGTTACTGGTGATCTCACAGGCGCAGGTGGCGGCTGTGGAGTGCGTGTTGTTGGATCCTTGCTTCTGGCCCGGCTGGCGGAACGAGATCTTTGCTCACCAACATTTCGAAAGGTATCTCTCCGCAAAGGCGGAACACTATCCTTTCTTTCGCGACGTTCTGCTCTGGAATCTTCGCGATTATCTTTATATCTTTCATTTTTCTGCACCCAGCGCTCTCTTCTTCTGTCCTCAGATTTTTGTGTTCTGATGCGCATATTTTTGAGTGCTTTCCACTGTACAAAAGTTAACAAAGGCGAGTGCCATGCACAGTCCTTCTCTGCGACACCCATATCGTATGGTAACAAATGCTTTAACTGTTCAACATCATTAAGTAAAACTTCGTCTGAAAAAGCTGATCCAGCATATCCATCCGCAGAAGCGGAATCTTCCTTGGCACGAGCTTCCGTAACAGCGGTCTGCTTTCCATAACAAAGAGAAATTAAAATCATTGAATCACAATCACCATCATTATTTTCCATACTTCTGATATATTCGGTAGCAGTGGTCGAAGAAACTACGTTATACGTAATGCGGTTGATCGGACTGCGATGCAAATTGATCTGTTGGAGAAATCGTTCAAGAATGTCAATCATGATGCAGGTCCGAAAATCGGAATGGTCATCAGACTTGAAACTACGTTGAGCAAAAAGGTTGCCATCTCCTGTAAGAAAATCGCATTGGTGCTCGACACAACTGGCAACAAAACTAAGCCATTTCTGGCAGGTCTCCTGATAAGCGTTGGTCCAAGCATATGACGAAATGTGAAACACCGCAACGCGGACTTCAGCCAGGAGAAGGCGTCGCACGTCATGCGTGTCTGCGCCGGGATCGACTTCACAAACTTCGGCGCTCGTTACACTGAGGTCACCGTCAATCTCGCAGATGGAGTGGTCCTGAAAATCTAAAGTTGTGGCCAATGGTCGGCAATGATCTTTGACGGCGGTTTCAACATTTTTCTCACCATCAGGCCTTGGAACTCGGACTCCGGCAGACGGACTTACAAATTCACCTGAAGTATTTTCACCATGACAAAGGCGGAAATCGCTCCGTGGAGGATTCAGAACGGACTAGACTTGTTTTCGGTCTCGTGTTGGTGATGTCCGAGAAGCTCAATAAACGAGCCGACATAGTGGTCACCGCGAATAAAAACAGCAAGTGATTGAGAGTTAATTGCAGGGTGAACTACCATGCCGATCATTCCATATTCCTTTGCAAGTTCTCGGTGAATGGCAATTCCTCTGTATTTGTCGGAAGCTTCACATAAACAAACAATATGAGCCGCATTGCGGAATACCAGATGTGGAAGAGCTCTGTGATTGATGTCGGTCCTGACCCATTTTGGAAACTAAACTTGGAACTACCTCCGATATACGGAACACGGTTGATGTGACCAAGATTCAGGGTTAAAATGCCAAGCTGGTATGTGTCTCTCTGGAATTCATGGATGTTCTCCTTGGTGCGCTTGACAACACCTTGGGCTGCTCGTTTTCCGAGGAGACACGGCCTGAAAAGTTCCAGTAAACGGAGAATTTCAGCTTCAGTGAGTTCAGGACCTGCTGGATATTTAAAATAAACCATTGGACGCCAAATGGGCAGAGGCGTCTCATCCTGAGCATCAATATAATGCTCCTGCAGAGTCGGGACACGATTCGCACCGTCCATGCGGTAGATGAATCCTGTATAATCGAATTGTTCAATGCCATGCCTGGCAAAGCTCTGCAGGTATGTATTGCCCAGGGACCGACCTTCCCGCAAATGCTGGATAAGGTCTTGAAAATTTTCCTGCCGGGTCTGTGCATGTTCCAATCTTGTGGCTCCAAAATATGAGGATTCAGCTAAAACGGCATCAATAAGAACTCCGATATCGAAAGGTGACTTATTGGAACTGATACTGTCAGGCAAAAAATCAGATGAAAGTTCAGATGAATAATTAATAATATTATGATCACATGCCAAGCTGGAACCACGCAATTTCTTCGGTCTCGTTTTTAAACTTGGAGTAAAACTTCTGCGCGGCATCCGCGTCTTTGAAGAGCTCTTTTGCTTGCGTAGACGTTTCTCGTCATGCCGCAGACCGAACTACTGCACGTCTGTGTCCCCACGGAGATCTGGCGGATGTTGACGCCGCAGAGGCGGCAGGATCGGTGTCGGATTCTCCTGCAGATTCGACCGTCCCTGCGGTACTTTTCTGCTTCTTTGGCATTGGTTTGGACTGAATTTTTCTTTTTGGGGCCTCGCTCTCTGAGGCTGAGGACACCTCCTGGTTCTTCGCTTTTTCAAGGTGCTTTTTAAATCTTTGAGAGATTTCCTCTCTGAGAGCGTTAATCTTTTTATCGTCGTCAGTCTCTGGCGGTCCTCTCGGTTGGTTATTAGGAGTTGCGACCTGACGAACGGGTCTGGTAGGACCTGTTGTGGCTTGTCGAAAACATTCAAGAAATTTGGTTGCCACAGGAATATTATCAGTTTGTTCTGCAACATAGTCCACATATTCGGAACGAGTCCAGGTAATACCATCATTGTCATTTTCATTCTTCTTTTCCCAGTACAAGTGATGGTGACAAACATGCATTGCAATATCAATATCAGAATCATAATCATTCATTCTTTTAAGTTCTGCCGGTTCCGGAACATCGAGCCAAGCACGATCAACAAAAGACCAAACGCCACAGAACCTGCTAAACGGTATGGTTTGATCGGTCAGAACATAACGATTGTGGGTAATAACAGGATTCAAACCAGCTACGGCTCCAGGCCGGGCAATCCGTCTGGTGTATCATCACTTGGTCGTGGTGGTGAATGGAATGGTGTATGAAAATGATCATCATCAGGAGGAAAGCCGGGATGCGGCGTATGCGGTTCATCAGGCATAGGAACGTCTGGAAGGTGTGGTGATGAAGGTGGAGTGTTACATGGTTCAGGCGGATTGTCATCATCTTCTTGGTTGTTGTTCTGCTGAGGTGGAAGACCCGGTGGAGGGTCGATGTTGGTGTTCTGTTCAGGAGTGTCGTCGGTATTATCTGTAGGAATACTTCCATCATTGTTCCAAAACAAGATTGCTGACCAATGGCTAGCAATCAACTGCGACAAATCTCTAGGATGTACTCGCAGAAAAACATGAGACGTATCCTTCTTCTTCCAAAGTAAGAGTACGCCGTGAGTGTGGCGGTATTCAACGCGTAAGGACTGAAAACTACCACGAAAAATGACTGCGTTGTCAAACATGGACGTACTTAGATACATCTGTCTGACGTGTGAAACATCTTGTTGTGCTTCGATCTGAACAGGATGATAAACATTACCAGCGGGTAGAGCATTAATGCGGTTGAGCAAGCGTTTCGTGTAGTAGTCGCGTACTGGAAGACCCTGTTCGTACAAGTCAGTTGCCAACACAGGATGCTCTGATGCCGTAAGTGCGGCAAGCTGATTTTGCACTCCTCGCAATTCATTGAGATCCAAATCTTCCAGCAGGTCTACAGCAAGTGACAACTGCGATGGATAGAGAGCCCTTGGATTTCCAAGCGGAAGGATGCATCTGATCAAAGTGCTACAGAATCTGTATGGATAAACTTGTGCCAACTTTGTTCTTGATCCATAACCAGGAGCACTACCTTCCAATGGTTGATGATAATGAGTTGGATCCTTCTTGGATTTGCTACTACATCTCTTGAAAATTGGATTCAAGACACCATCAGGAAAGTTGTGAAGTAAAGATGTTGGTTTGTAGTAGTAATATCCATTTGGGTCTCTCATACCAAAAGCGCACATATCTAATGTCCCATAGGTTACGGCATGCTTCATGAGAAGGCGATGAAAGCATTTGGTAAACCAAATTTTGGAAGTCGCAGGATTTTCAATGATAAAATATCTACCATGTTCAATCTGATAAAGAGCGACTGGCACAAAATTCTACCATGGGAAGATACCTTTTCCTTTTCTGATAAGTATCTGATGGATCATTAACGTCCTGCATTTGACTCCATGGTCCACAAACAGGTGCCATGTGGATGATCTTTGGCTGTTGTCGCTCAATGACTTCCATTGCCTTTCGCCGACCTTCGGCAGTGAGCAAATCGTAACCTGTTCTCAAATCTATTGGAGCACCAACTCGAAGTCCTTGCATGGCTGCCGACTGGCTAAGCTTGGCGGAACCACTAAACATCTCTAAGAAATCTATCTTTCCTGCAGTAGTTGGTTCCCAGGCATAATTACCATACTGGATGCCTTCCGGACCTGTCTGAGAGGCATCATGCTGCATGATTTTATTGGCAAAGTCATCGGTTCTACATGTGGACTTCGATGTTGCTGTACAGGCATCTTTGGCCGAAAATTCGGCACTGGCAAGTGTGGCAGGATCAAGAGGTACATCGACATCTTCGATCGGGTTGTGATCCTTTCTGATCTTGCTGATGTTGACCTTCACAATTCTGGTTCCTAAGTCAACTCCTACCATGCTACCACCTACTGAAACCAACTTTCCTTTTACCCATTTTCCTCCATGTGAACCGTCTGATTTGATTTTTGATTTGTCCTCGGTCCAATAGTAAACTTTATCACCTGGAAAGTATGGTCCATCACTAAGTTGGAGTTTACTTGCAATGTCTCTTAGAAACTTTCGCATCGCCAGCGACCTTAGTGCTTCAATCTGTCTCTCAGGAGCAGGGGCCTCAGTTGTGAGCTGTGCTGGATTCATGAGCTCAATCGCCGTAATGTCGGCAGGTCTTCTTCCAAATGCTAATTCAATTGGAGTAACACCACCATGTGTTACCATGGTATTCCTTGAAATGCAGGCTTGTCTCAACAACTGTTTGTAAGTAATGTTGGCAAGCAAAGGATCGTCTTTCAAGGAAATTAGCATCAATGAGACCTGTTTCTTAAACATGCGAATGGCTGCCTCAGCTCGGTTTGGCCAAGGTGTACCTGGTCGTAGAGAGATTGGCCGGATGTTATGCCTGTTATAGTAGCTCTCCATTTCAGTGCCCATAAAAGCTTGATCGGCAACAATGTATTTGGGATTCAGCTGATAAGTTTCAAAGTACTCTTGAAGATGAGATATCGTCACCGTATCAGACCTATTCTGAACTACAAAAGCGGTAGTCAAAGAAGTTGCACCATCATACATAAGTAGGAATTGAAGTTTTGACTGAGGATTGATAGGAACTTCTCCATGATCAATGAAAGTAAGTTCACCAAAGACTTCACTTCGAATTCCTGAAACCTTAGTTCTCGAGGGTGCAATTTTGGCCTTTGAACATGTGTCACATGATTTTGTGATCTGGTCAAACTTGTCATAAATTTCTTTTGGCAACTTCAGAGCTGATGTTCTTCTCTTGAATTGTTCAGTAGTCATGTGAAAATGCTTCAAATGTAATTTGAGAAGTTCAGTTGGTGATTGAAGCTTGTCATGAATTCTCTGAAGAGCTAGTGACAATGTTCCTTTAGGTGACGGTTCCTTCTTCTCTTCAAGTTTTACTTCAACCTTTGGTTCCGGTTTGACCTCGGGTTCTTCTTCAATCTGGGGTTCCCGACGTCTTGGGACTCCGTCCTTTGAACCGGAACTTGGTCCAGAGGCCACCATTGGCTCTTCATCAGGATCAAAAGGTTGAACTGGTACATCTAACTTGCTATCAGGCTGAATTACCTTCTTGACATTTTTCTTGGAATCAGACTTGGCCGGTTTCGGCACTTGTGCTGATTTTGGCTCTGATCCCTTAAATTTCTTGCAACCTTCTTTGTTTGTGTGTGGACGATGTTTACCATTGCATGCTGGGCATGTGATGTCTTCGGACTGAAAGCTGTACATCGGTTTCCAACTGGAAGTAGCAAGCGCCATAATGTCAAGGACTGGATGGTTGGATGTGCTGACCGCTAATGCGGTGCGTTGCATTCCGAAAAGTGGACATGTCATGAACTCACCTACAGGAGTATGTTCTATGTTCATGCGAAGGTTCCGCATTTGTTCAACTGAAAGAGGATAGGAACCTTACCTTTGTCCAGGATGTCAACGCATGTTGTAATCCAACCAGTTTGTGCACGATCATTGCGAAAATGAATCACTAATCTTTCTTTGACAGTAGATTGTTCTCCATTGGCAAATGAAAACTTACTTGAACAAGGTTGCTTAGAAAACCATATGTGGTCACGCTTCGGATGCTGTTGGCAAGCCTGTACAAGGCGATCAATGGCAAAGCGGGATCCCATGGCTCGAGTGCAACCTGAATCAAGGATGACATAAGTCGGATGAGAACCTAAATCTACATATTCACAAAGCCATGCTTGTTGGGCACCATGATCATAATTGAGAAATACACACTCTTCCGTAAAGACGGAATTGAGCGGGCATGTGTGCGGCTGGAGCGAATGCTGGTCACCGATTTCGGTAGAAACACTCTTCTCAACTTGGCGGATGCTCTTAAATAGGAACCTGTTCAAATCTGAAAAGCACTGGTACATCAGAGACACGAACAGAAGCACGAATGCGAAAGCTTCTACAAGTTCGTGTCCGAAAAATCGGAACAAGCAAATGGCCGAAAAACAGAACCGGTTGATCTTGTCGGTCTGTCCGTCCTCAGAAATGACGTCTACACTTTCTGACTGCTTGTCCTCGGATTCGGTCAGTTCCTCAGCGGAAGCAAGGTAAGACCAATTGTACCAATCACCTTGGGAGTAATCTCCATCATATCCATAGTAGGATTCATAACCTGACCAGTCATCTGTCCAATAGGTGTCATAGTCATAACTCCAGCTTTCTTCGGCATGGGCTGTTTCTTGTTTTTCAGGGGCTTGTGACGCACTAGATGTTGCAGGCTGTGCTACATTTGCTTGTGGAGGTTGTGACAAAAATGGATTGTTTCCTCCTTTGTTCTTGGCATCACTTTTGCCCTTTCCTTTCCATGAAGGCATTCCTTTGAAAGCATCCTTTCCTTTCATCATTCCTTTCTTGCCCTTTTTGCCTTTTCCTTTACTTTTTCCTTTTCCCCAGAAAGCTGTGTCTTGCTGGTCATCGTCCCATGCTGCAAAACCTTTTCCTTTTGACCTCGGACGGAAGCCGGGTCTTGATCTTTTTCCTCCTTTCTTCCCATAACCTTTTGGCCGACCTTTCTTGAAGGACCTGCCGTAGATACGGCGCTTAGATTATGAACCCTTGGCGCCTAGAACCCAGAACTCGTTCTCT